ACTATCTTTTGGCAAGTAAAGTTAAGGTTGAAAGCAAGAATGCCCCCCCCCCCCCTACCCATGCAATGTATCTCGATTTACTGCTAAGTTAAGGGCACCTCGTCATATATCGCCACACGTAAACGCGAACACATTGGCTGTACTGTAAACTCTACACCCCATGATTTCAGCACAGCAGTGGAGTGTCAATCTTCGTGGTGTGGCATTTTTCGTTATCACTGCTCTTCGAGTCATAAAGTATTCCACATCACCATTGATTTTAGTATCGACGCCTGTCTTTTCCGACACTTGGCATCAGTATTCTGACATGCAATAAAGGTTTTTCATGGAAATTTCAGATTTTTTTCGCAATATGGAAATTGATGAGTAAAAAATTTCAACGCTATTATACAAATAATACCCTGGATAGTGAAACATGGGAAACACAACGGAAGATTTCTAGGTCGCTTCGTCATCTATTGCAAGTGCTTACAAATAGCCACCAAATTTTTGCACTGATACATTGTACCTACTACCACAGAAAACAACGTGGTACAGAGAACACATGGTAGGCATATATTAAAGCCTGTGCGCTTTGTAAACTTAATGCGGATGTAAGTTCGTTGAACCTACATAATATAATGGGCAAGCAGGTAACTACCTTTTACGCGTAACCTTTCCGCAGTTTTCGCGACAATTTAGATAGACGCCAATGAAATGGAACGGAATGGTAAGCTTTAATGTGTAGTGTAAGTCTATACTATGCCGAATGTAGTTAATCTAACGGCTGTTGGGTGGGTAAAACAAGCAGAAAATATAAAATATTGTGCACACGTTGAATTAACGCGAGTTCATTGAATGGCGCAGTCATAAATTCAGTCATAACGGGTCTAGGCCGCTGAATTCACGTTAAGTTTTTTTGTTTTTTATATAATAAATTCCGTAGTCCGCCCATCAAAACGTCACACACCATCAGCCACTATTTTGTCGCCTTTTTTGTCAAGCTTTCTGGATAAATGCGAATATTATTATTGCAGGGAGTAAATCTCCGGACGCATGTGATCCGGCCGATCAAACGCCTCAGTTTTGCGACTTTCCTAAAATGTAATAGCACCCAATTTACAATCGAGATAACTGTTGGGGAGCTTGCAACCTTGCACAGATTTGGCAGCCAGGGCTGCACCCACTGAGTCTTCACATATCAGATGCGAAAAAGAAAACTGCGATATCGGAAACAGCACGTGTTCTTTTTATTGTCTCACTGGAATGTTTCTTGCATGTCTACATAAAATACGGGACATACGGCCTCTGTTTTCAGTTCGTAGGCGTCAGGAATGACAAGAGAAGTGGAAGACGAATAGAATGATCAGAATAAAAATGGACGGATTGTGAGTGGAGTAAAGAGGTGCTGGAAGACGGGGTGCGCCAAAAAAGAACTGCGTAGTGAGCACGGAGGACTGGGGCCGATAGAGCGAGGACGTTGACTACTGATCTTGTACTACAGGCCTAAGTTCGCTGTCTGCCCACCTCGACGAGCGGTCGGCTATTTCCCAGTCGTTCAGCTGGCCGGCTGTGCAGCGAACTGCCAAGACGGCTCGTGAAGAACGAGCCAGGTCGACCCGGCTGTCGTGCGATCATCGCACGGGTCAGAAGGGCCTGGAACGTGCTTGTAGTGCCTGCCGGCTCTCGTCTCAAGCTGCCAGAGGGGAATGGTACCCGAGTCAGCGAAGGCTAGTCAGCTTAGCGCCTCACAGCTTCGTTACCGAGAGACGCAACAAGTGACGACTTCTTGACAGAGTCCGACAGCGAGCGTAAAACACCAGCTGTTTTACAGAGACGTTGATTGACGCGTTGTAAGGGACGCCAAAAGTTTTGGGTAGAGATAGGATTTATTTGTTGGGAGTTGTGTATTTCTATTCTCTTGTGTACTTTATATCTGTTTGCGTGTAATGAAGGTTCTGTTTCTGTTGCATATTCCTGTCTTCGTGTGTTCAATCTTCTTGGTTAAACAAAACAAGCCGGGCGCTTGACAACGTCGTGACAGTTTGGTGCTTCACTGCATCGAAAATAGAGTGCCATGGGTTATCGGTAGCATTGGTTCTAGTGGGCTTCAGTAATTCCTGGTAACTCAGAATTCCTGTTTTTATTTATTGAAGATGTTGCAGTGCTTCGACGCATCGTTACAGAAATTAGCTCCCCGGTGTTTGTAAATCATCTGCAGCATCCAGAACGTGATAGCGACACAACTCCGGGAGCAGGCGCTTAATGTTTTTTCATACAGTATAGGCAACACAACAGAAAACAATGCTGTGTTAGTCTATCACAGCACACGCAACCAGACAATCAACTTCAGTCGTGACAATTGGCGTCAACCTGTCTACGCATCTCTTTTCTATTGCATAATGGATCGTACCGATCAACGCTGTTTCATATATCCTAAGCATCCCTTCTCTATAAGTGGGCCGTTCGATGTTCCCTTCACAGCACCATTTCGCAGTGCCAGTGAAAGTGTACTGGCTGCTGTGGCAATGACGTCACATCAGGAACCTCAACTGGAAGTGAGTCAGTCGGATGACTGGGAGACACGTGCAAACGTCATGCAGTGACAATCGATCAAAGCCCGACGCAACATTATCGGTATAGGCCCACCACACGTTGATGGCGCCTTGCCGACGGCGCGAGACGAGATGAAAGCCATGTTTCCTGGAAACCCCATTTTCGCCCCCTCTTGCGATTCTTTAATTTCGTCAGCGCGCGAACGTTTCGGCATCCCGATGGAATCTCGCTGGCATTCTCTGCCTGTTGTAGCCTATCCGCCTTACACCCGCGCAGATGTTGTGGCTATGTATATCCAGATGCCGTTGTCGGGGCCAGAAGGCAAGACATCAGCACTAGCGTGTCGCCAGTCATAAAAAAACGTAATGCCAAACACGTTGGCAAAGTCACGAAACACGCTCTTGATTGAATGAATTTGCGATCAGAGTGTGGATGATATAAAAGAACGACTACTAGGACGCCTGTCGGAGCCATGACGACAAGCGCCTACGTGATATTAACACGTGTAGGTTCATTGAGTCTTCTGCACGAAGGGTAACAGCAAGATTTATTTTATTTGCGGAGTACAGTATACGCTTAGGCCTACTGGGTGAAAAAAAAGTAATTTTCCCAAACTAACACAAAAGAAAAAGTATTGCACTCAGCACAATAAGTCATCTTTCTATGAGAGCAAAGAAGCACTTATTTCTGCGATATTTTACGTGAGCCAGTAAAGGTACAAAAAAGAGCGCTATTCACATTGTACCCATAATTTATGCATCTGTTCGTTCCTGCTGAAGGCAACTTTACAGCTCTTCCCGGACTGCCTCTCTCAATTAATTTTTTTCGAATGCAGGTCAGGGCGTTCATGTCTACTGTGACTGCTAAGCAACACTTCAGCTTCCCAGTACAGCGTCAAATATGTGGCAGTCGTGTTCACATTCGCTATAAATCTATGCAATCATCGTAGTTTTCATTTAATTCTTTCCCAAGTAGCTAGTCTCCTGGGCTGCGAACATCGCTACAATCCGACGTAGAGCACACCGGGATGATCACTATTTATCCTTCAGCTTGAAGGCATGAAGTTGTTGGCGTTTCAACGCGAGCAGCTCCAGTAAATAATGAATTACTTATTGATTTCAGGTAATCAAAGCCGTACATCAAGGTGGTAGTAAAATAAAGTTGCACAGTTTCATGGCCTGAGTAACCTGCCCTTAGTGACAGTATCAGTGCTTTATGGCAATCTCTGGTCCATTCACGAATACGTTTGCCCTTTCGTGTTCCCTTTACTCAGACAGCTACTCGCACAATAAACACAATAATACAAGCGTCAATAACATTAAGCCATACTTTTTGAACTGTGTCACCCCCTGTTCTGCCTACATTGCCCCTGCTTCCCGTACTTCTCGAGCGTATTCGCGATACTTGTTAACAGGCAGAAGGCCTTACTCAATCTCCGCCTTAAAATAATAGCCTGGCACAAAAGAATAGCAGGATAAGGGAGACGAGAAGACGGGTCGAGTGCTCACTCTCAACCCTTATCCCACACTCTTGTCTCTTGTTGCCCTACCTTTCTTGCACTATTCTTTCATTTCAAGAGAACAAACCGGCCCTGCCGCTGTGGTACAGTGGCTAAGGTACTCGGCTGCTTACCCACAGGTCACGGGATCGAATTCTGGCAGCGGCGGATGCGTTTCCGATGGAGGCCGAAAGGTTGTAGTTCCGTGTTCTCAGATTTGGGCGCACGTTAAATATCCCAGGGTAGTCAGAATTTCCGGAGCCCTCCACTACGGCGTCTCTCATAATCATATGGTGCTTTAGGAACGTTAAACCCCACATATCAATCAATAAAAAGGACCAACCGACCCTCCCACCAAAGCGTTCTGTTAACTCACTATGCGCACGCACGTTAACCGTCACTATGCCATGTTCCCGTTACGTAAATGGACTTCTTGGCTAAACAAAATAATTAAAGCATGTACTAGAGGAGGGGGGGCACTGGCTTTTTAAACATCATTTCCCAAAAACTTCAATAAAGTAATCCTCACGTTATGCTCAATATTATTATTGAGCGTGCTTGATTTTTTTCACGTTTTCTAATGGCTCAGAAGCACATAACCAGAGAAGCTCGGAAAGGAAGTCATTAAACTACAAAAAAGTAAATGCAGAAACGGAAAGTGAGAGACACGAGATGTGCCCTGTGCCCTTTGGTATAGTTAGTTTTGCCGACTCGTGAGTACTGCGCGTTCACCTGTGCATGATCATAACACACCCCTAATGGCACAGCGAAAAGCGTACGACCATCCAAGCGATCCATTTGGCTTGCTTGTAGCGAGAAGCGTTGTGTTAGCGGAATGCCAGCCTAACGAGCCGCGAGGCTCGGCTATTAAAAGCCTTTCCCTTCCACTCTCGCCCCAAGCATCAGTCACCTGGCTACGACCACAGTCTTACAGGAGGCGTTGGCCGTAGTTGAGCAACAATGAATCCGTGTAATTGGCAACGATACTTTCCAGGCAGGCGTATCGGCAGTGCTCCAATTAACGCGCTGTTGTAAGCGACCCAAAATTCTTCCGCGTTCGAGGGCTTGCATAGTGAGCGCTTGAGCAAGAGGCAACAGGGGAAAAGAGAAAAAAAGACAAAAAACCTAACGGCACATAAATCTCCGTGCGAAGCCTGTCGACGAATCATCCGGGTAAGTGACCCGCTGCAGCGATTTCACTAGCAAGGCTTCACTCAATTTTGGCTCTCAGATTCTTGCGTAAAGCAGTGATCTATGTTCTCAACGGCATTTTCAATCATGTTCAGCTTTCCTGGGTTGTGCTGAGCTTCTTGCAGAACGTCTCGGAAACAAACGTTATTAGCTCTGGAATGCAGCCGGCATGTACATGCATTTCAGTTTTGATACGATCATCGCCGCATTGGAGTGATGCGGATAACGTAATAGTTTGCTGGTTTTGTGTCTTTGACCTTCATTTATCAAAAGTGGTTGTGATACATTAAAAAAAAATGGCAGCATATCCACGGAGTGAATGATGGAGAGTGGGGCAAAGAATTCGTCCGTCGATTCGTTCTTGCTTCCGTCCATCCATGCATCCGTCAGTGTGACCGTCCATGCGTCCATCAGCCCGCCCGCGCGTGTGTCTGTTCGTGCGTCCGTCCCTGCGTTCGTCCATGCAGCCGCCCCTGCGTTCGTCCATGCAGCCGCCCCTGCGCCCGTTCATGTGTCTATCCATGCATCTGTATATGTGTCCGTTCGTCCATCTATTCAACACTCCAAGCACCACCATCTCGCATCTTTTCATCATATATTCCTCATATAGAAGCACCACCATCCAGCGGACATTCCAAGGACTAAACGAGAAGTAGCACACGCACACTTTCTTACGGCTTGCACTTCGGGTCCACTTCCCACCTTTAACCACCTCCAGTTCATGGTATATACTAGTTCACTGTATTCATGGCACTGCGACCGAACGCTCGCTAAACCTTTCGAAAACCAAGGAGGTTACGCCCAGCGAGTATGACGTAGCAAACTTTTTCAGTCAGATAGTGATCAATGTACATGCCAATGACTGCTAATGGGAAATGACAGGTGGAGAATTCGCCTTTTACTTTCTTACGGCTTGCGCTTCTTATCTACTTCCCATTTTTATTCACCTCGAGTTCATTCATGGTATATACAAGTTCATTGTATTCATGGCACTACGGCTCAACGCTCGCTAAACCTTTCTAAAGCTAAGGAGCTTACACCCAGCGAGTATAACGTAGCAACCCTTTCTTGTCAGATAGTGCTCAATGTACATGCCAATGGCTGCAGCTAATGGTGATCGCAGCCTGCGCGTTAACTAAAACCCGAATGCTCCTGTCTCTCATTCCCCATTAGCAGCCATTGACATGTACATTGAGCACTATTTTTTTATTGTTCAACAACGCACAGAAGAAGTCTCTCACCGGCACCACCTTAGTGGTCAAATTATCATACTTGTTACATACTACGGGGGACGAACGGGTGCCGCTATAAGGAGCTTTACCCCTAAAACTTACAGTTCACTGCTCGTGTTGATGCAAATAGAACACGTCTCTCAACGGCTTAAGTGAAGACGTCGATTCCTCTTTCAAAAATGGCTGTAGCAGTATACAGCTATAATCTTTTCGGGATGCAAAAGGGGGGGGGGGATGTAACCATATGTTCTCTATATTCGTGCGTGTGCTTGCACTTGCCAGCGTATAGGTAAACGTGCAAAATGGAAACATTTCGGGAGGTGACGGGACAAGGTTCAAACCCTCAGCTCCATAACGTGCCTACGCGAATGATGGGGGAAAGACGGCAGCGGCACAGCTGTGTCCTGTGGAGGGGGGGGGGTAGTAAGAATCAATTCGGTTTAGCTGGAGGCTCAGAACAAAGTACATAATGTAGTTATCTCGTTGCTATTGTCAAAATGCAAAGACTCACTTCTGCTAGGTTTATTCCCACATATGCAGCATGCTTCGGACAAAATTTTGCCCAACTGCAGCTGATGCGGCCATGAAAAGGGATGTGATAAGCATGGTCAAGACACCTTTATCGGCAAGTTCTGAAATGGGTCCCTCACCGGAACTAACATCCCTGCACAGTGCTGACAATGAAGGCTGTTTCATATTGATCATCTTCCTTTTATCTATTCTGTTAAACGGTGCTGTATTGTGCTAGTGCTTTCTACTGCCTATAGTCCGTTGGACAACCACACACACATGTACCAGCTCTTTGTATTTTTTTCCTTTACGTCTCTCGGACATTCTATTTGAACCTAACGATTCTGATACAAAACCGTTGCCCCTAAATTCAGCTCGTTGAGGATACCTTTGGCGAAATAATTTGTGCGTAAATGCAGCAAAAGTGTTTCATTGTGCTCTGATGAGTTATTGCTCCCTGTGAACCCCGTCTGAGGCAATGAATGAGTATAATGTCCCCTGCGTGCCTCTCAGCTGCGGTATAAATACACTGAAAAGAAAAAGAAGCATTTCTTAATATAGAGGACGTTGGCGAAACTGTTCAATCTCCTTTGAAACAAGCTCCTGTGATGTGTTCTTATGCATTCCCTGCGTAACGTCTTGCCAAAATGAACTTCCTTTTTTTCTGAAATACAAAAGGTTATGAAAGTTTCACTACACACAAAACGGCAAAAGGCTAACTTGCATACGTACACCGGCTTTGAAAAGGGCATTTTTTCGTCTTTGAATTAATGTCACACCCAAGCCACCCCCCCCCCTTTTCCCCCCAGGCCATGCGACGCGCAACGAACTAAATATTGCCATGTACTTAGCCAAACATAAGCGCTTGCAATCAGTTTGCCTCTCGAAGCCCTATTAAGTCGTGCATTACGGTATCCAGTTATTTGTGCTAAGAAATCGAGAGATGGGCTTGGCTTAATGCCCATGGTAGGGATATCCCGTGTTTTCGCAATACACTAATAAACATAATAGCCTGATTTTTACGTCCCAAATCCACGATATGATTATGAGACACGCCGTGGTGGTGGGCTCCGAAAGTTTTGGCCATCTGCTGTTCATTAACGTCCACTGAAATCGCGCAGTACACTGAGCTCTACCATTTCACCACTATACGGAAATGCGACGGCTGCGACCGGTACAGAAGTTATACGTGATGTTGCATTCGCTGCATTGCGTGTATTTCTTTCTCTACGTATCAGGCAAGCCTCTCCAGCTCTCCATCAAAATAATTCACTTTCACTAGATACTATTCTAACACGCAAGTGTAGTGCGACTGCAGCCCAGTCTTGTCATCATCCTCGCATTTATTTGGAAGCGAAGAGTCGAAAGAAACGGTGTTTTCAAGCTCAGTTTTCTCCGTACAAATAGCTCTTAGACACTTTGGGAAATTTGATGCCAAGACTAGGGTGGATCGAGCTGAGGGAAAGTGCGGCATCAAAATTCGGTTATATATTTCGACCTCAAGTTTAACGTGGCACTGGTGTGTGAAATTTATTGTCGCGTTAGTGTAAACCAGTATGTACTTCCAAGTAATAACTACGATGCATGTAACATTGTTACAATGCAGGTGGTTGTGGCAATCAGCTCTTGCCGATATTAAAGTTGCGTTGTGTGCGTCTGACGCCACATAAAACGCGAGAAACAGCTTATTGTAATTAAAAGTTGGCGGAGTACTACCACTGATAATGTAGCTTAAAATTACAACATCAATGATGTTAATAATAATAATAATAATAATAATAATAATAATAATAATAATAATAATAATAATAATAATAATAATAATAATAATAATAATAATAATAATAATAATAATAATAATAACATATTATTATTATTATTATTATTATTATACTAATAATAATAATAATAATAATAATAATATCTTTTTATTTATTGCTAAGATTTTATAAATATTACTATTATAATATTTCTATTAGTAGTAGAGGTTTTAGGAGTAGTAGTAGTAGCAGTGATAGTAGTGGTAGTAGTAACAAGTATGGCCACTAGAATAACAAAAGCAATTCAAAATGAAAGGTCATGTGCATGACTCAACTACTTCTGAATGTTCTTTTTGTTCTGTTTTTCTGTCGATGTTTTTGCGCGTGCGCACACGTATAAAAGCAGTCGACCAGTACACGCCGCATTGCACCAATGCGCAAGGCCTTTACCTTGCCCACGCCAACACTATGACGAAGTGGGCGTGTAAACGAGGCTATCCAAGGCGCTCGAGGCTGTATTCGTGAAAGCGCCGGGCGTACTACTGCACCCGCGATACAATAATACGCGAAGTATTTCCTCCAACAATCTCAGACTTCTATCTCAAAGTATATTCTAGCATGCCGGCGAGTCGTGCTCGTACAGCTATATTTATACCTACGAGCGCACGACAGAAAGCACCGCGCCCACAAAGCGCTATCGGGTCTATGCGCGCAAGGCCTGATCATCGGTGATCCCGCTCCCGAAAGGCGTCGGTCTCGTCCATCAAGAGAATTGGGATGCATAGTCTGTCCAACGAGCCACTGACAGGCAACGGCGCACGAGGGTTGAAGTAAAAGGAACGTGGCGTTGATCAAACAGCAGCGCTACGGCTTTGTATTCAACGTGCTTTAGGTAGGATCTCGCGGTAGACATCGCCCTGACTACTCGGTCAAGTCAAGTGTGCGCAGCTGGCTCTCCATCACTGCGGCCCCCAAAATGGCCGTGATATTCAACCGCTTAACTCTCAGACGCGATCGTCAAGATTATCGAAGGAAGGTTTATGAGGGGACTCTAAAACTGGGTTACGGAGTGCGAAGAGCTGTTTATGTAGTGCGTCTCCTCTCGCTGTCTATGAAGATTCGCCTGTCGATGATGCGGGACGAGCAGCGTTTAAACACGTGGCCCCATCGTCGATCGGCGAAATTGCCTCGCGCTACTTGTCTTTTCAGGAGTTGAAAAACACAATGCCCTTGTATATCTTCCCCACCACGTATAAGTAGTGGTTCAAAATCTACATCAGTTATCTTGATAATTATTAACGAGTCGCGTCTTGAGTGAAAAATGTGAAGTTTCCCACAGTCCTGTCATATACCTCAGTATTATGAACTGCCGCCTGTGTAAACTTTGCTGTGCAAGCTAAACGCTATGGTTCTCTTGCGTAGATGCATCCTGAGAAGCAGCTCCTTCACAGGATGGACAGGTTTTCTACCACCAGAGGGT